AATAAAACAAAAGTTTTACCAAAAAACAAACGCTAAGGTTTCTACATGAAATAAAATTTGTAAATTTAAAAAAATGTTAAATTTTTTAAACTTTGGCAGTATTATATTACTGGATAAGAGCTACTCTCTTTTGGGCAAGCAGACAATGAAATAAAACAAAACTGGCCATATGGCTAACACGCTGGCAGTCTGGCCGTTTAGCTAGCTGACTAATATATCTTCTTGTAAAACGATCAATGAACGTAAAAAAAGCGTAAAAAACAACATAAAATTCAATTTCATGCAAACATCCATGTTTCATACATACCACGAACGTATAGCAGAAACAGCATGCCAGACAGAGTCAGCTTCGTAAGAAAATTTGTATTAGTCAGTGCTGGGTATTAGTATGTTTAGTAGTTAGTACGTACTGCGGGTATTATGTACCAATCTCAGACAGTAGCAAATAACGTAACAAATTTAACATAACATCAAATGACTAATATACAAACATTAATATGTATCTAAAAAGCAAATATTTAAAACTAAAAATGTTATTGTTGTTTTTTGAAGTTAATAGCCAGAAAACACTTTTTTAAATAAATTATATTATTTCTTTTTTAGTTCATGATTAATGCGAAATTTTTAATTTCAATTCAAATGAGAAATATGTACATTAAATAAAAAATTTTGTTATATGTATCTAGTATGTACGAATATTTAATTCGTTGTACCGGTAAAAGTTGTAATCAAATATGTATTTATAATTAATCTCGTACATGTTATTTTTTCAATTAATTAATATCCTTTAAGTATAGCTATGAACCACTTATTAGTTGCACCTAACATGCAGAATTTTCAAAAAATATACTTTGTGGAAAAGAAGTCTGCTTATAAAGCCATTTCATATAGAAAAGAAGCCTTCTTTGAAAGCAACTTTTCCATAGAAAAGAAGTTTATTTGGCAAACAACTTTTCTATAAAAAATATGTCTGCTTGGCAAACAACTTTTCTATAAAAAATATGTCTGCTTGGCAAACAACTTTTCTATAGAAAGGATGTCTGCTTGGCAAACAACTTTTCTATAGAAAAGATGTCTGTTTGGCAAGCAACTTTTCTATAGAAAAGATGACTGCTTGGCAAACAACTTTTCTATAGAAAAGATGTCTGCTTGGCAAGCAACTTTTCTATAGAAAAGATTTCTGCTTGGCAAGCAACTTTTCTATAGAAAAGATGTCTGCTTGGCAAGCAACTTTTCTATAGAAAAGATGTCTGCTTGGCAAGCAACTTTTCTATAGAAAAGATGTCTGCTTGGCAAGCAACTTTTCTATAGAAAAGATGTCTGCTTGGCAAGCAACTTTTCTATAGAAAAGATGTCTGCTTGGCAAGCAACTTTTCTATAGAAAAGATGTCTGCGTGGCAAGCAATTTTTCTATAGAAAAGATGACTGCTTGGCAAGCAACTTTTCTATAGAAAAGATGTCTGCTTGGTAAGCAACTTTTCTATAGAAAAGGAGTCTGTTTGGCAAGCAACTTTTCTATAGAAAAGAACTCTGCTTGGCAAGCAACTTTTCTATAGGAAAAATGTCTGCTTGGCAAGCAACTTTTCTATAGAAAAGATGTCTGCTTTGCAAGCAACTTTTCTATACAAAAGATGTCTGCTTGGCAAGCAACTTTTCTATAGAAAAGATGTCCGCTTGTCAAACAACTTTTCTATAGAAAAGATGACTGCTTGGCAAGCAACTTTTCTATAGAAAAGATGTCTGTTTTGCAAGCAACTTTTCTATAGAAAAGATGACTGCTTGGCAAGCAACTTTTCTATAGAAAAGATATCTGCTAGGCAAGCAACTTTTCTATAGAAAAGATATCTGCTTTGCAAGCAACTTTTCTATAGAAAAGATGTCTGCTTGGCAAGCAACTTTTCTATACAAAAGATGTCTGCTTGGCAAGCAACTTTTCTATAGATAAGAAGCCTTCATAGCAACCAGTTTTCTATAGAAAAGAAGCCTACTTGGCAACATTTCTGCAGAGAAGAAGCCTCTTTGACAAGCAACTTTTATAGAAAATAAGCTCGATTGAATAAAAAATTTTCTATAGAATTGGCATAATTGGTAAGATATATTCCTATAAAGAATAAGCCTACGATGCAAGAAACTGTTCTAGAGAAGAGAAGCCTGCTTGGCAAGCAACTGTCAGTGTGCTATAATAATGGTCATAATTGTTAAGGAAGTGTAAAGGAGCGTTGGTCTGTATTCGGTTTCTTTTTTATTTCGCTTTTTTTTATTGTTGTTTTTGTTGTTACTGCGGTTGTATTACCAAATGTTTTGGGTTAGTTAGAAGTGCAACATTTGGTTGACTTTTCTTGGCTGACTGGATGGCTGGCTAGATGGCAACAAGATACGATGGAAATGAAAACAATAAAAACAATTTTTAGTAATATGCAACAGGAATTACACTACACCACAAAAGCGGGAAGACAACTTTCGCTCAATTATTAAAGATACAAAAAGTCAAAACACACAGTTAACAGCAGACAAAAACTCCAACCAAAAGAAAGAAAAATACAAAAACTCTGATACCGAAAAATAAGACATTTTGGAAATAAGAAAGAAAACGAATATTAAAGAAAAAACGAACTAAATAAAAAACTTACCTATTGGAATTAACAAAACACCAAAAGTATCCACCAGTTAAGTTTTTTTTTTTTTTTGTTACACCAATATTCCTCAGGGATTTACAAAATATAGAAACTACAGCACTCGGTTTCCAGACTTGTTTTGTTGTTTTTGTTATTTACAAACAAGTAAGAAGAAAAAGCACTTTTAAAATACTTCACTTAAAAGCACTATTTAGTTATTTTACAATAATTTATTATTAAGTTGTTGTGGTTAATTTTATCTTATTTTGTTATTAAGAATTTTTCACTTTTGGGTAATAGCGGCAGTGCTAAAACGAATTAAAAAAATAGTTGTTTCTGTTTCATGCAGTTTTATCTTTCGTCACTTTGTATACACACAGCCATAGCCATACTCCCAATCATACACTCACTCACTTTTCGTTTTCTTCATAAATTCAATAATTTTATTACAATTCTTTTGCTTTTTCTATTTATTTCGTTGTTTCCAATCAATTTCATGTACCTATGTTTAATTTTGTTTAATAGATATTTTTTGTTTAATTATTTTTCTTTCACTTTTTCGTAACTTTTCCGAAAATAAGAATTTTTTGTATTTATTTTTTCTTTTTTCACTTTTTATTCCTTTCTTTTGCACTCACTTTTTGACACTGGAAAATTAGATAGATGATGGTCGTGTATGGAGATGAGAAGCAATAAAGTAAAATATACGACGACGATGATGGACAAGAGTAAAAGAAAACCACATAAATTTTTTTCAATGCACCATCTTTTTTTCCATTTGGAAAATTTCGTTGTTACATTTGTTTAAATCTTAATTGCAGTATTTGTTTTTTCAACATTTGTTAAGTATATATTAATATTATTTAAATAACACAATATTTTTATAAAAATTTTAACTAAATACACCTTTTTTTATAAATCGATTGCATGCGCGTATATATTGTACATGGCGTTTGCAAGGAAAGAAGAAAAACTTATGAACAAGAAAAAGAAATGTGTGTGGAAAAAATCATCAAAAATGGGAATAAGAAAAAAATCGACGAGTTTACGGCCTGGCCATGTTAACAACAAATGATGTAGAAACGCCCATTGTTATGAAAACAACTTATAACAACGCTACAATTACCAACAACAAGTGTTTTACAGCAAACAGCTTTAATATATGACAAAAAATATTTGATATGGCAGTTCCTGCAGTTGTTTTTCAAGTGGTGAATTCATTAGAAAAGTAATGTCAATTTATAAACATATGTATATACATATTTTGAATTCGGTTGTACATAATTTATTTATGTATGACGAAACGTACATACTTATTTATTTATTAATATACCATTTACAGTTAATAGTTTATTGGAGAGAGTGCTTAACAACATTTGTATTTAAGTAATCTCTCCAATAAACTATTAACTGTCCTATGTTCCATTAAAAATCATTTATTATAGGAAAAACCTAAACTTGTTCGAAAAATAGCTAAATTCTCAAATGATCTCAATATATCACGATTCACGAACAATTTTATGCATTTCCTCATTATCTCAGAAAAAAAAATAGAAGTTGTTTTATTTTTTAAAACGATTGATTGAACTATTTTTTGAAACAGATTAAATATTTATGTTAAATACTCTCTCCAATAAAATTTACCAATTTATCACTAAAAATTTCATGATAAAAAAACAATAATTGAAAAAATTTACATTTTTAAACGATTTTTTAATGATGGTTGTTTTTAATTTAATTTAGTTGACATTACTTGTAAATATGGTGAATTTTATTTTTTATACCCTATACTACTATAGTGAGGAGGGTATTATTGGTTTATTCTGATGTTTGGAACGCACATAAAAGTTGGTCTACCATCACCTCAAAGTATACCAGTGATCTAGGAATCATTTTCTAAGTCGAATAAGATATGTCACGTACGTTTTCTTTGGCAATAGAACGAAATTGAATAAATTTATCCATTTCTTTTTATATAGCACCCATATAACTGAACCCCCAAATAGTGCTTTTTAGCTAATGATTATGTCAAATATACTTCTATCTCCACATAATGCAAATGTTATGGAAATCATGAGATATTTTCCCTTAGCGTTTTTTTCAGAAAATTTGTTATTCATCAAATAATTGCTTAAATATATCGGAACGAAGGTTCAAAATAAAACACATTCTATAAATGTGTTATTTAAAATTTCTTTGTTTTTCTTTTTAGCAATCAAATTTGTTAATTAATTAAAAAATTTAATTATCCGAAAAAATTTTATAATTTTTATTTCAGCGTTTTTTTATATTAGCTAGTTTTTCAATTTCCTCTAATTAACATTACTTTTAAGTATGGTGAGTTTTATTTTCTCTTTATATATTTACTGGTTTCTCACCTCCTTCCATTCATTCATTTTTTTGGTCAGACTAGTGTTGGACTTCGTCGAGAATAGCAATATATATTCCGAGAACGACTACGTTTTCACAAAAACAAACGGGTGAAAATAAGAAAACAAAATAGAAAAGAAATAAAAAAAACACAATTTAGTGCAACACCTCCGCCCTGATGGAATTAAAATTATTGAAAACTAATTAAATTTATAAGAATTTTTTACAAATTTTACAATAGAACGAAAGTGTAAGTGTTAAATAAATATGAATCATTAAAATTACGTAAGAAAATAGACAAAATTTATGTGGAAATATTAAAAAATTGTACCAAAAATGAAGTAAAAAAAAAGATAAAGAAACACGAAAAAAAGTGACGATGATGATTTCATCGGATCGAAAAACAAAGATCATTAAATCATAAAAAATTATTAAATAAAAAAGCAATAGTGATAAAGTGTATTGAATGGTTTTAAATGAATATAAAATAATTTAAAAATATAAAATAAGTAATTTGGTAATTTATATTTATTTAAAAAAAATTTGCCAGCAAAAAAAAAAAATCACATTTAGATTTGTGTGGTTGTGTATGTACCCAGATTGCGTAGTGCCTGGTGGAGAACAAGTTAGAACGCCCACGTTTCCCTATGCTCAATAAACAAACAAGATTATTTACATATGCATACATACAATGGATGTTATGTTGTTGGGTTGATATTGCTGATCTATACTTAAACAAAAAGACATACATATGTACAAACAATTTTCCATATGCAAATCTATTGCAACACCTCTTCCTCTATGCTTGGTACTTGTATGAGTTTATATAGTAGTATTCCGCTGGTGTTGTTGCTGCTGCTAATGATGAACATGGTGGTGCATATTGATATTCATATAGGAAACTAATTTCTTTATACTTATGCCATCAATATCATCAATGACAGACAGCTGTTGTACTTGTTGCCTATTCTCTCCCTGATCATCTCTGGCCCGCTTCTCTTTACTTTTGTGTATATGTTTTTTGCGGGTTCTATTAATAGTAGGAATTGTTTTTGTACCAACATAAATTAATTTCTCTATTTTAAAGATATATTTCTGCATTTGATTTATTATTATATTGGAAGGTAAATTTAACCCCGAATATTGTGTTTTTATTAATATGACTCACTTAAAATTCCATATATGACCTTAATGTGTTATGATTTTATAGTATAATATAGGTACACGTTTGCATTGTCTTCTTTTTCAAAAAGGCACGTGCGTTCCATTGTTTAGTTTTGGGTACATATTAAAAGTTTTTAATTGACTTTTTAAAATTTTTTTACAAAAAGGGGTGTTTTTTCTTTGCCACAGCCATTTATAATGTCTGTTGTTTATATTTTTACTTTGAGTTAAATTTCAATAGATCTAGGTATATCTCACTACTCCAATTAGAAATAAGAAAACTTTTATGTTGTTGGAAATTTGTGTTTCCTCTTATCAGTTTGTATTTTTAGATACTGGTACATAATACATTTTTAATTGATTTTATTGAAGAAATTCTTACAATTGTGAACACATAACCTATAGTTTTGGAGAATACTATAACTGAAATTTTTCTAAATTGCTAACAATGTTATTGCTTATAACAAGAGCCGATAGCATATAAAATAAAACTTTTTTTGATATCCGCAGCTAGGTATTATGTTGTAGTTTTTATTTCTATGGAACCAAATCTTAATTGGACAATTAACAAAATCGGTCAATAAATGGCTGATAAGTACAAAAATATTTTTATATGAAAATATTAAGAAGAGTTTCTTGATCGACTTTTATTGCACTCTTTCGACTTGAAATTTACGAGTTCAACTATTTTTTACCGAAATTATTTCATTATCTCTTAGTAAATCTGTTCTATGCACCCCTAAAGTATTTCCTTCTGCGATTTAGGTGTTATTGACTATAATTTAAAACGGGAACACTTTTTACGAATCCGTCCTTACACGACGAAATAAGTTTCTATTTTCGAATTAGTGAAATGAAAATACTTAAGATTTTATAAAAAAATATATAGATTTTAAATTCATATAGTTATTTTAACTTTATATAAAGAAGGAATATGAGAAACCCTTTATTTTAAAGTCAACAGGTTGGACTTTCAGATGGCCTAACAGATTTTATAAATAAAGCTGCCTTCACGCTGTTATAACGTCCCAGATATGACCAAAAGAGGATTTTTTCAAACTTTATGACTCGGAAACTTAATATCAGCCTTAAATTCTGAAGCCAAATTGGAAATTCTCCAAAATTTAGAAATTCACTGATCTCCAGGTTAAGATTTTTTTTAAATTTTGTTGGGCTGTGTAAATATTTTGTTCGTTTGCCGCGTGTAATATGAATTAAAAATGTTCAGTGTTAGAAATATAATAAACTACAAAGCAAAACTAAAAACAACTTCAATATTTATTTATATACCTATTAAATTTTTAAGAAACCAAATATGGATATTCAAACATCCGGATTTGCCATTTTTAAATAATTTGCATTGCGGATTTGACAAATATTTTTTTTTTAAACCTAAACAAATTTGTCGCTTTTTAATATATTATTTTAAAGCATGATATAGATATGATTTAAAGCAATTAAGCCTAGAGAAGTTAAAACAAAAGTTGAGCATAAAATTTTCTCTAAGAAGTTGTAAGCTATATTAATTCTTCGTCTTAATAGTAACTTTAATTTACAAAACAATTTTTCATACACCTCATTCATGAAACAATAATTTATTAAACAAAAAATATCAATGAATCAATATATATAAATAATAAACAAAACATTAGTCATCTTACAGAACAAAGATACACATTCAGTGGAGATTCAACCAACACAACAAAACTGACAAAGAAAAACCTGTTTGTTTAAACTCGTTAAAATTGTAAGAAAAAAGTTTTTATTTTTCTAATCACTATAAATTGCTACAACAAATAACCTTAATTACAAAAACAACAGAATAAAGAACATGACCTACATTACTTTCACTACGAGGTTTTGTGGTTTAAATTCTTTTGTTTTAATAAAAAAAAAACCTAATTTATAGTATTTTTTAAGACCTTAATGTGTTAATGTTTATCCAACAATCATTTTGCACACACCTTTATTGGTTTTACTAGTTTATAATGAGTTTTCTTTCCTCCATATGCCAACACTACTAAATACTATTAGATTTTCCGATTCTTTCTTGCTTCTGCAATCTTGTCTCGTTTCGTTAGGATGGCCCAATAGCGCCATCAAGAGTTTTGTGTACATTTTGATTTTTTATATGGTTTTTTTCTTCATTAAAACATCATATCCCCTCTTTTTAATTTCTTTTGGCAATTTCACTGCCACTCAGTTTATTTTTTGTTTAATTTTATTTTATTTAAACTGTTTGTGTTTCTTTTTTTTTGAATGGATGAGTCATATAGTGAATGTTAAAGTGACTTAACGTTTCATATGAAATCTTGATGAGTTTTGTATACGAAATAGTAAAAAATAACAACAAAAAATTATAATCAAAATCGTCAGCAGCTAAATTGCTTTAGCTAGCAAATGAACCAACTAACAACATTGTATTTGATAATAATTTTCTGTTATATTTTATTATTAAATTTTTCTCTCTTTTTTTTAATTTGCAATACAAATTTAAACACACATCTGGAATTGTATTTTTAGTCATATGAATGTTTATGTTTTTATAGTATTAAATCATTTTGAAAAGTTTTTAAATCTTAAATATAAATTGTTTTTTGCTTTCATTTCTTATTTAGTTCTTTTTTTTGGTTGAAATTAAACATTTATTTATAAGTTAATAATTTTTTGTTGTTTTAGTAATTATGTATGTTAAAAATGCAGATTTTAGCAGAAAGATTAAAAATAAATTTCTCCGCAATTAATTTGCAAAAACAAAATAATTTAATTTAAAAGTAAAAAATTTAAAATTATCACCCAATTTAAATTTATTTAGGTCAGTTATAGCTTCTTCAAAAATATTATGTCATGTATGAGTGTTTAATGGAGAAAAAATGTAATTATATGAGTTCTGACAAAAATTAACCTTTTTTATTAATATTTTATTAATTGCTAAAAGAATTCAAAATAAGAACTGATGTTAAGAACTGAAATTAATCCACACTTTAGACTGATCTATAGTAGACACTATAGACTGATCTGTAGCAGAGACTATTGACTGATATACAGTATAGACTCAAGACTGATTTGTAGTAATGTCTATAGACTGATTTTTAGTAGAGATTATAGGCTGAACTATTGTAGATTTAGTGGAGACTATATTTGAAGCTATAAACGGATATACGCCTCCGGTAGGTTAGTGGTTAGTGTTCTAGTCTGGTAGACCGGAGGTGGTGGGTTCGATTCCCACCTGAGGCACTGGTTAAGGAGCGCACAACAGGCCCGATAGAGGCCTAGGTGTATTTCTTCGGATTTGATGTATATTCATCCTCCTTTCTAACTAACTACTAACTAACTAACTAACTAACTAACTAACTAACTAACTAACTAACTAACTAACTAACTAACTAACTACTAACTAACTAACTAACTAACTAACTACTAACTAACTAACTAACTAACTAACTAACTAACTACTAACTAACTAACTAACTACTAACTAACTAACTAACTAACTACTAACTAACTAACTAACTAACTAACTAACTAACTAACTAACTAACTAACTAACTAACTAACTAACTAACTAACTAACTAACTAACTAACTAACTAACTAACTAACTAACTAACTAACTAACTAACTAACTAACTAACTAACTAACTAACTAACTAACTAACTAACTAACTAACTAACTAACTAACTAACTAACTAACTAACTAACTAACTAACTAACTAACTAACTAACTAACTAACTAACTAACTAACTAACTAACTAACTAACTAACTAACTAACTAACTAACTAACTAACTAACTAACTAACTAACTAACTAACTAACTAACTAACTAACTAACTAACTAACTAACTAACTAACTAACTAACTAACTAACTAACTAACTAACTAACTAACTAACTAACTAACTAACTAACTAACTAACTAACTAATTAACTAACTAACTAACTAACTAACTAACTAACGGATATACGAGTATAAAGTCGAAACTATGGACTGACCTATAGTCAAGATTATATACTGATCATTTGTTAAGACTGATCTTTAATCGAGTCTCTGGACTGATCCATATTCTGATATTTAGTCGGGGTCTTGACTGATCTGTAGTGGAGACTATAGTACGACCTTTAGTAGAGGCTCTAGACTGATCCAGAGTAGAGACTTAAAACTATGGTGGAGAGTATAGACTGATATTTTTTGTAAACTAATCTATCATTGAGAATATAGACTGATCTGTAATAGAGACTATATAATGATCTATAGTAGTGATTGTAGACTAAGATATAGTTGAAAGACAAATACTCGCACCTCTTCCTGACTATAGACTAATCCATCACATTTTTGTACAAAATTCCTTAAATTTTTCTTCCCTACCAGAAATATTTGTTTATTCAAACACTTTTTTTTATCAATAAAAATTACATTGCAACCATATTTCCGCAACACTTTACCGTCGGTACCTTTTTTACACTTAATACAAATTAAAATTTTGAAAGAAATACGATAATATTTATTATCACCCCTGACGTCATACATTATTATTGGTGACTAAATTTCTTTTTCGTTTTTATTTTGTTTTGTATTTAAGCAGTTAATCATTTATTAAATAAACACATTTTTCCATATCATTCTTCTTTCAGTACTCGAACGAAAAATACGAATATATTTTTTTAAAAAACATTATTTTGCCCGTTTGCCAAAATTAACATGATTACTTCTTCCACAAAACGCCTGTATACACTGGCGTTATTAGCCTTTGTCTTCACTTGCTGTGTATTTTCCGTTGAAGCCCAATTAGCTGGTAAACTTATACAAAATCCTTGTGTCAATAAACGCACCTGTCATGAATGTATACAAACACAAAGTTGTGCCTGGTGTATGCAACCGGATCATGGTGATAAACCTAGATGCTTCCAACACAGTTATTCCAATGTTTGTCCAGAAGAATTTATTTGGAATCCTGATACAGTACAAAGTTTTACCATAAATCGTGAACTGACTAGAGCCGGTTATGCTGCTGGAGCAGCTGGTGGTCAAATGTCCTATGGTGGTTCTTATTATGCCAATTCTTCATACAGTAGTTCCTCATCGGGTTCATATTCAGGATCATATGGAGCTTCTGGAGCTGCCGGCGCCGCTGGTAGTTTTAGCGGCAGTGATATTGTACAAATCAGTCCTCAAAGAGTTTCTTTGAAATTGCGTATAAGTAAGTTTTTTTTTTGGTTATTAAGGTCTTAATGTAAAGCTAATAAAATAATTTCTATTGTAGATGAAGTCCACAGTTTAAATATGCGTTATTCTCAGGCTGAAGATTATCCCGTTGATTTATACTATCTTATGGACTTGTCAAAATCTATGGAAGATGACAAAGAAAAACTTTCGGCTTTGGGTGATTTACTCTCCGAAACTATGCGTAACATTACCTCTAATTTCCGTTTAGGTTTCGGTTCTTTTGTTGATAAAGTTTTGATGCCCTATGTTTCGACTATACCCAAAAAGTGAGTAATATTTTTTTATTTCTTATTTTTCTATTATTTGTTTAAGTATATGGCTACATTGATAATGAAAGTGTGATTTCCCATTTCTAATTATTGCAATTGTAAAATATTTAAGTATTATTTAAATTTATTGTTAATGTAGTCTTTAGATTAGTGAACTTATGTTAATTAATGAGTAATAGAGATTTAAATAGGTTTATTTATAAATAACGAAACTTAATATTCTTCATCATATTATAATTAATTGTAATTACAATATCATTGTTCTTTTTGTTGTTAACATATTTGAACATTTCAAATTAAACCATTTCCAATTGTATTTGAAAATATTTTCTTTAAATAAAATAAAAGAAATGAAATTAAAACTTTACACAATTCTTTATAATATTTGTATATTATTTAATATTTAAATTAATTTAACTTTTAATATATCTTGGTTAAAGAAATTTAATTAAAAATATGATGAAGAACATTAAGTATTGACTTTTATCTAAATTATCTTAGAGATTTTTATATTATAATAAGTATAGAGTAAAATATTAATAGAAAAATGTTCTTGCAAATGTAGAAAATTTTCAAGTTGATAACATGTTTAAAAAGTTTGCAAATTTACAATTCAGTGTTAACAGTTCTTGTAAATAAGCAAGTCCCTAAAAACACGATATAAAAGAAAAATGGCCATTTAAATTAGTTAAAATCTTTTAGTTTTTGAAGAAAAAAAAAAAGAAAAAACCATAATTTGATTATAAATTCTTTTATAATGTAATCTATTGTAGAAACTGTAGCCTAATCTACAGTGAAGACTTAGACTAATATACAGTCAAGAGGATAGACAAATCAATAATCGAGACTAAAGACTAATCTTTAGAGACTATAAACTCTATAGTCAAAACTAGAGAATGATCTATAGTTGAGAGTATAGAACAATCTAAGGTCGAGCCTATAAACCAATCTATGGCCAAGAGAATGTTTTAATACATTGTCGAAACTATTGACTAATATAGTGTTAAGCCTAAAGTCTATACTATAGCCGAGACTAAGGATTAATCTATAGCCGAGACTATTGACTGATCTACAGTTTAGGCTATAAACTAATCTGTAGTTGGTTGAGACAAATCTATATTGAGGGTATAGACTATTTACAGTTGAGACTATAGACTAATCTATAGAGACTGTAGACTGATCTATAGTTTAGACTATAAACTGATCTATAGTTAAGACTATATACTAATCTATAGTGGAGTCCATAGACAAGACTATAGACTAATCTATAGTCAAGACTATAGGCTAATCTATAGTCAAGACTATAGGCTAATCTATAGTCAAGACTGTAGACTAATCTATAGTCAAGAATATAGACTAATCTATAGTCAACACTATAGACTAATCTATAGTCAACACTATAGACTAATCTATAGTCAAGACTATAGACTAATCTATAGTCAAGACTATAGACTAAACTATAGTCAATACTATAGACTAATCTATAGTCAAGACTATAGCCTAATCTATAGTCAAGACTATAAACTATTCTATAGTCAAGAATATAGTCAAGACTATAGACTATTCTATAGTCAAGACTATAGACTATTCTATAGTCAAGACTATAGACTATTCTATAGTCAAGACTAATCTACAGCCGAGACTATTAATAAAGGCCATGTACTGATCTACAGTCGAAATTATAGATTCATATAAGTTCGTCTATAGACTAATCTATAGTCAAGAGTATAGGCTAATCTATAGTCAAGACTATAGACTAATAATAATCTACAGCATAGGAACAAAAAAATGTTGATACATCTTCACTTATTATTATTTATTTTTCTAATTTTTAATTCCAATATTTGCAAATCGCTTTTATAAAATTTAGCAATAAGATTTAATTCATTATTAATTTTAACATGTTAATTATTTTTTAATTTTTTGATAATTGCTTATATTAATTTAAATTAAGTTGTTTTTTTTATAATTTCGTTATTATATTGCTAATTTCATTAATATTTCTTTTTTTTTACTTAAACAATTTCCAAACCACTAACAATTCGCAATAATTGAAAAAATAAATACTAATCACAACAAAAACAAACCTCCATCATCACTTACTCAAAAAATAATCCAAATTAAACTGCACCTCTCAACAACAACAACAACAAAACAGACTTGAACATCCCTGTGAAAATTGTGAAGCTCCTTATGGTTATCGCAACCATATGCCCTTGAGTACAAATACCGCCGAATTCACTGTAAGATTCAATTATTTTGTTTTTCTTTTTCTCCCAAAATATTCAAACTTATTATTTTATACATGTTTATGATTTTTATCAATACATTACACCCACTACTCCATACACGTTTTTTTTTTTTTCAAAAAACTTCATTTTCTGTTGCTTACTTTTTGAGTGTTTTAATATTATTATTTTTAAATTGTTTTAACTTATTTCTGTGTTGTAATTAATTTAGTTGCCTTGTATTAATGAAAGAGATTTTTTTGAAATAATTTACTAAATTTAAAATTTATTGTAATAATTTTCATTATTATTGTAATAAATTTTAAATATTATAAATAATTTCATCGCCTCTTTCATTAAGTTTGTTGCATTTAGTTTTGGCTTAACTGTTGTGTTTATTTATGTTGTTTTAACTTTTATTAGTTTTTAAATTATTTTACTATTCTTTAAATATATTGTCTAAGGGTAAGATTGTTGTAAATCATTATATCATAGAAATATTATATTGGTGTTGTTGTTAATCTTAAATTATACATTATTATTGATTGAGTAATTTTAAGTTGTTTTCTAATTCGAAATTATAATATGGTTTTTTGTAAAACCTACGTTATAGTGGCTTAACTATCACAAAACGTTCGTTTCACAAAATTCTTAATAAGTATTCTTATTTTAAAAATTTTACATTTCTCTTTCATTTATCATATTCTTCTTGTTTTTCTTTCTAAATTTTCTTTCATATAATATAAAATTATCTACTATTCTTTATAAAAAAACATATCTGTCTGCCTTAAATATATCATTTAAAATAATCGTAAACAAAATTAGCATGATCGAGCCATGTGCAGGCTGTGCTGCACCTTATGGTTATAAAAATGCAATGCCTTTAAGCACGGATACATATCGGTTCTCAGTAAGTTAATGTTGTCGTAGTTTATTTTAGTTTTATAAATATTCATTCATAGTTTCTTTTCGCATGTAGTTAGTAATTATTACCCAATCCCATAAACCAACTCTGGAAAGTTTAATTATAAAGCATTTTGCTAATAGAAATTGGAAATCTTTTGAAAGGAGTTGGTTTTATTATTTTATTAAAAAGTTTTTACTTAAGTATTGGTGCATGGTTTTATTTAAAAAATAATATTATAAATGCATGTGTTATGTGGTGTTTAGTCTGCATGTCTTCAATATTTTTAATATGTTTTCATATTCCCCTTTAAAATCACCTACATTTCAGTGATCATTTCATATTAATTTTAAAGGTACACTCTTGTTTATTTAATTTAAATTTTTTATTAACTTTTTTTAACCCCTTGGATTTTTATTAATATTTCGAAGTTCTGTTTTATGGTTTCATTTAAAATATATTATTTAGTTATGTTATTATTTGTTTATTTTATTTCTTATCTTTTCACTTATTTTTATCGCAAATTTTTAATATTCTTAAAGTTTGTGTCACAAAGCCAAACGTTTGTTTTGTGTCTTCTTATCAGTTTGAAAGATAAGTTTAAAGATAAGCTCAGTAATACCGTGTTATTGTTGGTACTATATTCCTATTTTTAATGCAAAATATTAATAATTTAACCATGAAAAATAACTTAAAGTATTGAATTAATAGGATTGTTCAAATGATTGTTAGAAGTTATATTGAAAGTAAAAGTACGATTCACATTTAACTAAAGATTATCAAAAAGAAGGTATTTATTTTTCTCAAAATTTCAAATTTAAATTTTTTCTTTTATTTAGAAAATTTTTATATTTATTTTCAAAATGTTTACGTTTGTAATTGAAAAACGAAAAAATCGCCTTATATTAAAGCTAGAAATATATTTTAATAAACCCTTGATATAAAAGTTTTTTTTACAACTGTTGAATATAAGTTCGAATTTTCAAACATGTCGTAAGAAGCTTACATGTTAATAAGTCCTTAAAATCGATGAATAGTTTAAAAAATGTTCAACTTTTTTAAGTTCGATATCGTTAAAATGTAAGAAATGATACTTAAATTAAACTAAAATTATATTTTTATTAATGGTCATAGTCTAAGGACCATTTTAACCGCTTAAAATATTTTTCGAACATAACTTCGAATTTTCGAACATATCTTATAAAGCTTATTTTGAAAGAAAATGTTTTTAAAACTATCTTAATAAGGTTATTGCTTTGAAAATACTTTAAAATCCATGAATAGTTGAAAAAAATTAAAATTTTTTAAATTCGAAATCGAAAAAATTTAAGAAAATTATATTTTTATTAACGTACATATTCTACAGATTATTTTAGCAGCTTTAAATATTTTTCGAATATAACTTCGAATTTTCGAACATATTTCAGAAAACTTATTTTTAAAATATTCTGAAAATTAAACGTTTTCGAACAAATCTTAAAAGCTTATTCATATTTTGAAAACAATTTAATTGTTAAGTTCGAAATCGAAAAATTTTCATAAATTGACCTCAAATTAAACAAAATCTATATTGTTATTAATGTTCATGTTCTAGAGACAATTTTTACAGTTTTAAAGTTTTTCGAACATAACTTCGAATTTTCGAACACATCTTAAAAAATATTTAAAAAGTAAATGTTTTCTTACATATCTTAAAAGCGTACATTTCGAAATTTCTTTAAAAATCATGAACATTTCAAAATAATTTTCAATGTTCGAAATCGAAAAAATTCAAGAAATTGTCCTCAAATTAAACTAAAATTATATTTATATGAAAATGTTAAAATTATTTTCAACTGTTTTAAGTTCGAAATTAAAAACTTGGCTTCGAGTAAGTAATATAAGTTCGAAATTAAAAAAATTAAACCCAGAAAAGCTAAAATTATATATATTTTTATTTATTTTAAATTTTTCGAACATATATAACTTCGAATTTTCTAAAATTTATTAGAACTTTAAAAATAACTTTAAAAATTTAATATTTCCGAAGATATTTTAAAACTTATGTATTAAAGAAATGGTTTGATATTATTCAACTTTAGACGATAGAACTTCGTATGGATATCTTCATTAAAAATTTAAATTTTTTATATTCAATTTTAAGAGGATAGAACTTCGTATGGATATCTTTATTAAAAAATTTAAATTTTTTATAACCTAAATTCTTAGAAACAAATTAAAAAAAACATAAAACAAAATAAATTATATAATTTTAAACTAATCGTTTTTAAAAACAAAACCTGTACAGATGTTTTTTTAAACAATAACTAAACAAATCATAAATTAAAATTAAAAAAATTCTCATTTGGAAATGTTAAATTAACTAAAAAATATGTTTAACAGAAAGTAAAAATCAACAAGAGTGTACCATAACCCAAATAACAAAATATTTGAAACAAAAATCTTAACAATAATTTTAAAAATAACTTCTTTTTACTCTAAAACCTCTAAAAACACAGACTGAAGTAAAAAGAGCCGCTGTCTCTGGTAATTTGGATGCTCCTGAAGGTGGTTTTGATGCCATTATGCAAGCTATAGCTTGTCGTCAACAAATCGGCTGGCGTGAACAGGCACGTCGCCTATTAGTATTCTCAACAGATGCTGGTTTCCATTATGCTGGTGATGGCAAGGTAATTTTATACATATTTCTAAATATTATAAATTTATTTTAACAAATTTATTTTTTAGCTTGGTGGTGTTATTGCTCCCAATGATGGTGAATGTCATTTAAATTCTGCTGGTCTCTATACCCACTCGGTTATACAAGATTATCCTAGTATTTCTCAAATTAATCATAAAGTTAAGCAAAATTCTATTAATATCATATTTGCTGTTACCGCCAATCAACATTCGGTTTATGAGAAATTATCCCAACATATTGAAGGTTCTTCAAGTGCCATTTTATCAAATGATTCTTCTAACGTAGTCGATTTGGTTAGAGAGGAATATAGTGTAAGTTGTTGTATTAATTGTTAATTAACACTAGACAAAAATATATGTTTATAATTTTCTTTATAGAAAATATCTTCTTCCATTGAAATGAAAGATAATGCCACCAGCCATGTTAAGATCACTTATCACTCTTCCTGTTTGAATGGCGGTTCTGAAATTCCCACTTCGAAATGTGATGGTCTGAAGGTTGGTGATATTGTCAATTTTACTGCCCAAATATTGGTTACTTCATGTCCCACTGATCCCGCCGAATGGAATCAAGTTATTCAAATTTATCCCGTGGGTATTAATGAAAGTTTGGTTATCGATTTGGAAATGTTGTGTTCCTGCCCTTGTGAAAAACCCGGCTCCACTGGCTATCAAATCAATTCTCCTGTTTGTAATAATCATGGTACCTACATGTGTGGTATCTGTGAATGTGATGACATGCATTTCGGTCACAATTGTGAATGTTCCACTACTGATGTCCATTCGGAAAAGGGTAAAGACTTTGGCTGCCGTGCTGATAATGTAACAACAATTGATTGTAATGGTCGTGGTACTTGTTTGTGCGGTGTCTGTGATTGTGAGAAACGTGCTAATCCTGAGGAAATTATTTCTGGTCGTTTCTGCGAATGCGACAATTTCTCCTGTGATCGTCATGAACAGCAATTGTGTTCGGGCCCAGATCATGGTGTATGCGAGTGCGGTAGTTGTGTGTGTAAACCTGGTTGGACTGGTACTGCTTGTGATTGTCGCGATTCAAATGACACATGTATACCACCCAATGGCGGTGAAATCTGTTCAGGACATGGTGAATGTGAATGTGGTGTATGCAAGTAAGTTTTCACTTCCGTAAGAAGGTGTATGTATATAAGTTTGTTATTCCGTGTGTAATTTAGAAAATTTAATTTTTCGACCTTAGCGTTTGTCTGTATGTTTGTTGAAAACAAATTTTTCAGGACCCTAGATATCTTTGGGGTCCAATTGGAAAATTTTATATGACACACTTTAGAATATTTTAAAGAAATTCAGCTTAGCTGAAATCTATTGAAAACCAATTCAGCTAACACAATTTAATGATATTTTCAAATTGTAGTTAAAATACATAGAAAAATATAATTCAGCTGAGCTGAATTAATTATTTAAACAATTCAGCTAACAAAATTAGAATAAAAATCAGCTTGCAATATTTAAAAAATACTATTCAGCGCACAACGGCCCGATAGTGGCCTGATGTTGTATACATCCTCCTATCAACCTAACCTAAGCGGAATTCTATATAAATTAACAACATTAGAATAAAAATGAGCTTACAGTTGAAGAATATTACAAAAAATATTATTCAGCTAGCTGAATTCTATATAAATGCAATTCAGCTAACATAGTTGAATGAAATTATAAAATTGTACATAAAATAAATAGAAAAATATTTAAACAATCCTTACAAAATTGTAATTGCTTACAAAATTGTAATCAGAATGAGCTTACTGCTCAAAAATATAACAAATAATGCTATTCAGCTAAACTGATTTCTATATAAATGCAATTCAGCTAACAAAAAATTATATTCAGCTGGGGAGATTTAAGTTTTTTAATAATTCAGCTAACAAAATTATACGAAAAATCAGCAGTAAGTTGAAATATATTACTAAAACGTTATTCAGCTAAGCTGAATAACGTTTTAGTCATTTCAATTTCATATAATATATCCGATGTTTTTGGACCGATATCGATGGTTTTAAATAGCAAAGTTCTCGAAAACAAATTGACAATTAAGTTATACAAAAATGTATGAATTTTTCAAATACTTATTTTAACGTTTATTATCTCTCCAGATGTAAATCCACCGAAGAAGGACGTTATTCTGGCAAATACTGTGAAAAGTGTCCCACATGTTCTGGACGCTGTCACGAGCTTAAAGACTGCGTACAATGTCAAATGTATAAGACTGGTCCCTTAAAGGAGGATAAAGATTGTGCCGCCAATTGCACAACATTTGTACCAATCGGTGTTGAAAAGGTCGAACTTGATGAAAAGAAAGAAGAGAATATTTGTATATTCTATGATGAAGATGATTGTAAATTTGCCTTCAAATACAGCGAAGAAGATGACAAAGTTGAAGTGCATGCCCAGCAAGAACGTGAATGTCCTCCTAAAGTCTTTATGTTGGGTATTGTTTTGGGTGTTATAGCTGCCATTGTACTGGTAGGTTTAGCCATATTGTTATTATGGAAACTTTTGACTACCATACACGATAGACGTGAATTTGCTAGATTTGAAAAGGAACGCATGAATGCCAGATGGGATACGGTAAGTTGGCTATTGATTGAAATGAAGAATATAATATAAATTTGTTTTTTTTTTTTTTTTTTCTTTTGCTTTTATTACAGGGTGAAAATCCTATTTACAAACAAGCCACCTCTACATTCAAAAATCCTACATATGCTGGCAAATAAGTAACGATATTTTAACGATCTTAACTTAACCTTTTTCGTTTTAGTTTTTATAAGAAAACAATATGCCATAAAAAACGAAACGTTTTAAGCTATGTAAATTCTTTTGGTTTCTAACAAAACTAATCTTTATGTATTTAACTGCCAGTAAAAGCCTAAAATCGTTTACAACTAAATTTTGCAACTTAACCAAAACTTAACTTTGAAACCCTCCATTTTTTGTTTTATTTCTACTCTACTCTACTATCATTTTTCATTTTCTACTTTTATTGACAAAAGTGTAGTAATTTTAAATATGTGCCTCAAAACAAAAACCAACAACAGAAGAAATAAGAAAAGAACTTATTAACAATATTTATATTTTTACACTCAAATATATTTTGTACTTTTTATAACAGTAATGTAACAAAAACAAAAAAGGAACAAGCGATTTTTTTATTAATAGTTTTTAAGTAATAGAAATAATAGTAATCCAAAATGCCTTGCAACCAAATTAAAACATTGAAATTATAAAATATTTTATATATTTTCATCATATATATAAAAAACGCAACAATATTGCAATATTTGCCCAAAAACATAAAAATTTATAATTTAATGATATTTAAATTATTTATTTACTAAATAATTTAAATTTTTTTAATTTTTAAGACTTAATAAAAAAACAATTTGTATTTCTTTCAGCTATATTTATAAGAAATGCTAAACATTTTAGTTTTTTATTATAAATATAGTTAGTTAGAGTTTATTTCTGTATTAACAAATTCATTTCTTTTTAATTTTGTTCTACTGTCCTTGTGTGTGTATTTTTTAGTTTATTTCTACATAATTAAGTTCTATGTATTTAACAAGTAAGTTTTCTTTTTTTTATTTTTCTTCTTTTTTAGTTAATACTTTTTTATTTTTGTAAGTTTTTTTTTTTAATAATTTGTATAAATTTTTACGTTTTTGTTTTTAAGTTTACCTTTGGATTCAGTAACTTTTAAAAGAAGTTTTATTTTGAAAATTTTTGAAAAAAAAAAAAAAAATATTTTATTTTTTACAAATTTTTAAAATAAAATTTATTTTAAAAATACTAAATCAGGAGGTCAGTTTTATTTTTCATTGTATAATTTGTACTGATTAATATTAACAATAATAAATTAAATTAAATAAAAAAAAAAATACAAACACCAATAAAATATTGATTTTCTTTGAGCCGGAAAAGAGAGAGACAATAAATAACCTGGTTTGAATACTAATTAAGTAAGAGAATTTGTTGAATGATACTACGAAAGGGGAAGTGAGTGTATGTTACAATGAAATAAATCTGTTTGAAAGCAACTTTATTAAGTTGTGCGTTAAATGGTTTTTTCAAATATTTAGCGCGCGTGCTTTTTTTTTTCTTTGCAAAAGTGATTCAAGCTTAATTTAGTATTAAACCTATATACATATACATATTTGTAATTATATACTCAAAACGTCATTGTGGTGACTAAACTCTGTAGCTTTGCAAATAAAATAATTCACTTTATAAATTATTAATAATATGCATTAAAATCATTCCGTTTTTGACTCTCAAACAATTCAAACGATAATTTATTACAAAGAAAAAGTGCAAGAAAATCATAAAAATATGATAACTCTCAGTAAACTAAAGAATACAGCGTTATTTATAGTCCTTGTCGGTGTATCTTTAATATCTACGATTGAAGCCCAATTGGCTGGTAGTAAATTGATACAAAATCCCTGCCTAGGCAAACGTACTTGTCATGAGTGTATACAAGCAAAAAATTGTGCCTGGTGTTTGGAAGCGGATAATGGCAATAAATCAAGATGTTTTCCTTCAAATTCTACCGACTATTGTTCAAAAGCCTCTATTTGGAATCCCTTAACGGAACAAAATTTTACCATAAATCGAAATTTAACTTTAGGTGGTTATACTAAAACTGAAGAAGTGAATAATGAAGATATTGTGCAAATAAGCCCTCAACGAGTATCATTAAAATTACGCATAAGTATGTTTTATTAGAAGAAGAAAAATAATAATGCAGAAATATTTCTAATTTTAACTAATTTGTGGTTTAGACGAAGTCCATAGTTTACCTCTGCGTTATTCTCAAGCTGTAGATTATCCAGTTGATTTGTATTATCTCATGGATTTGTCCAAATCTATGGAAGATGATAAACTTAAACTGTCTGCCTTGGGTGATTTGCTTTCGGATACTATGCGTAATATTACTTCTAACTTTCGTTTAGGGTTTGGTTCATTTGTTGATAAGGTTTTAATGCCATATACTTCGATTCACCCCAATAGGTAAGTAGGCCTTTATTTATATACATGTACATATTTTTATTTAAATATTCGCGGTTTTTTTATAAAAATAAGTTAAATATTTATTTAACTTCTTTTATGTATTCCTAATGCATAACAGATTATGTGCAATACATATTTATTTAATAGGTAGACTGATGCTATGATTCATAATTAAAAAAATATATAATACACATTCTTAAGAATTCTAAATATGTAGTGGAAAATACTTCAAAAACAACTTTAATTATAAGTTCAACGCTTTCATTAGCTTTACGATTGCTAAGCCAAAAAAACACTAAATTTTAAGATTACAACTTAAAAAAAAGTATTTCTTATGAAAAAATATGAGTGATCACAGATTTTCACTATTATGTTTTTCATATAAAAATCTACATTTCATATAAAATATGAGTGATCAAAGATTTTCACTATTTTCTCAATTGGAGCGTTATTTAAGAAACTATAGCCGATTTTATGTTTCTCATACAAAAATCTATTTTTGGTGTTAAATATGAGTGATCACAGATTTTCACTATTTTCTCAATTGGAGCGTTATTTAAGAAAATACAGCCGATTTAAGGTTTTTCATATAAAAAAGATTTTTGGAGGGCAATATGAGTGATCACAGATTTTCACTATTTTCTAAATTGGAGCGTTATTTAAGAAACTACAGCCGATTTAAGGTTTTTCATACAAAAATCGATTTTTGGTGGGAAATATGAGTGGTCCCAGTATTTCACTATTTTCTCAATTAGAGCGTTATTTAAGAAACTACAGCCGATTTTATGTTTTCTATATAAAAAACGATTTTTGTTGGGATATATGAGTGATCACAGATTTTCACTGTTTTCTCAATTGGAGCGTTATTTAAGAAACTACAGCCGATTTAAGTTTTTTCGTATAAAAATCGATTTTGGGTGGTAAATATGAGTGATCACAGATTTTCATTACTTGCTCAGTTAGAGCGTTATTTAAGAAACTACAGCCGATTTTATGTTTTTCATACAAAAATCGATTTTGGGTGGGAAATATGAGTGATCACAGATTTTCACTATTTGCTCAATTGGAGCGTTATTTAAGAAACTGCAGCCGATTTTAGGTTTTCTATATAAAAATCAATTTTTGGAGGGAAATATGAGTGATCACAGATTTTCACTATTTTCTCAATTGGAGCGTTATTTAAGAAACTACAGCCGATTTTAGTTTATTCATATAAAAATCAATTTTTAGTGGGAAATATGAGTGATCACAGATTTTCACTATTTTCTCAATTGGAGCGTTATTTAAGAAACTACAGCCGATTTAAGTTTTTTCATACAAAAATCGATTTTGGGTGGGAAATATGAGTGATCACAGATTTTCACTATTTTCTCAATTGGAGCGTTATTTAAGAAACTACAGCCGATTTAAGGTTTTTCATATAAAAAACGATTTTGGATGGGAAATATGAGTGATCACAGATTTTCACTATTTTCTCAATTGGAGCGTTATTTAAGAAACTACAGCCGATTTAAGGTTTTTCATACAATAATCGATTTTTGGTGGGAAATATGAGTGATCACAGATTTTCACTATTTTCTCAATTGGAGTGTTATTTAAGAAACTACAGCCGATTTTAGTTTATTCATATAAAAATCAATTTTTAGTGGGAAATATGAGTGATCACAGATTTTCACTATTTTCTCAATTAGAGCGTTATTTAAGAAACTACAGCCGATTTCATGTTTTCTATATAAAAATCGATTTTTGTTGGGAAATATGAGTGATCACAGATTTTCACTATTTTCTCAATTGGAGCGTTATTTAAGAAACTACAGCCGATTTTAGTTTATTCATATAAAAATCAATTTTTAGTGGGAAATATGAGTGATCACAGATTTTCACTATTTTCTCAATTGGAGCGTTATTTAAGAAACTACAGCCGATTTTAGTTTATTCATATAAAAATCAATTTTTAGTGGGAATATGAGTGATCACAGATTTTCACTATTTTCTCAATTGGAGCGTTATTTAAGAAACTACAGCCGATTTTATGTTTTTCATACAAACATCGATTTTTGGTGGGAAATATGAGTGATCACAGATTTTCACTATTTTCTCAATTGGAGCGTTATTTAAGAAACTACAGCCGATTTAAGGTTTTTCATATAAAAATCGATTTTGGATGGGAAATATGAGTGATCACAGATTTTCAGTATTTTCTCAATTGGAGCGTTATTTAAGAAACTACAGCCGATTTAAGGTTTTTCATACAAAAATCGATTTTTGGTGGGAAATATGAGTGGTTACAGTATTTCACTATTTTCTCAATTGGAGCGTTATTTAAGAAACTACAGCCGATTTAAGTTTTTTCATACAAAAATCGATTTTTGGTGGGAAATATGAGTGATCACAGATTTTCACTATTTTCTCAATTAGAGCGTTATTTATGAAACTACAGCCGATTTTAGTTTATTCATATAAAAATCAATTTTTGGAGGGAAATATGAGTGATCACAGATTTTCACTATTTTCTCAATTGGAGCGTTATTTAAGAAACTACAGCCGATTTTAGTTTATTCATATAAGAATCAATTTTTAGTGGGAAATATGAGTGATCACAGATTTTCACTATTTTCTCAATTGGAGCGTTATTTAAGAAACTACAGCCGATTTTATGTTTTTTATATAAAAATCGATTTTTGTTGGGAAATATGAGTGATCACAGATTTTCAGTATTTTCTCAATTGGAGCGTTATTTAAGAAACTACAGCCGATTTTAGTTTATTCATATAAAAATCAATTTTTAGTGGGAAATATGAGTGGTCACAGTATTTCACTATTTTCTCAATTGGAGCGTTATTTAAGAAACTACAGCCGATTTTAGTTTATTCATATAAGAATCAATTTTTGTTGGGAAATATGAGTGATCACAGATTTTCACTATTTTCTCAATTGGAGCGTTATTTAAGAAACTACAGCCGATTTTATGTTTTTTATATAAAAATCGATTTTTGTTGGGAAATATGAGTGATCACAGATTTTCAGTATATTCTCAATTGGAGCGTTATTTAAGAAACTACAGCCGATTTTAGTTTATTCATATAAAAATCAATTTTTAGTGGGAAATATGAGTGGTCACAGTATTTCACTATTTTCTCAATTGGAGCGTTATTTAAGAAACTACAGCCGATTTTAGTTTATTCATATAAAAATCAATTTTTAGTGGGAAATATGAGTGATCACAGATTTTCACTATTTTCTCAGTTAGAGCGTTATTTAAGAAACTACAGCCGATTTTATGTTTTTCATACAAAAATCGATTTTGGGTGGGAAATATGAGTGATCACAGATTTTCACTATTTGCTCAATTGGAGCGTTATTTAAGAAACTGCAGCCGATTTTAGGTTTTCTATATAAAAATCAATTTTTGGAGGGAAATATGAGTGATCACAGATTTTCACTATTTTCTCAATTGGAGCGTTATTTAAGAAACTACAGCCGATTTTAGTTTATTCATATAAAAATCAATTTTTAGTGGGAAATATGAGTGATCACAGATTTTCACTATTTTCTCAATTGGAGCGTTATTTAAGAAACTACAGCCGATTTAAGTTTTTTCATACAAAAATCGATTTTGGGTGGGAAATATGAGTGATCACAGATTTTCACTATTTTCTCAATTGGAGCGTTATTTAAGAAACTACAGCCGATTTAAGGTTTTTCATATAAAAAACGATTTTGGATGGGAAATATGAGTGATCACAGATTTTCACTATTTTCTCAATTGGAGCGTTATTTAAGAAACTACAGCCGATTTCATGTTTTCTATATAAAAATCGATTTTTGTTGGGAAATATGAGTGATCACAGATTTTCACTATTTTCTCAATTGGAGCGTTATTTAAGAAACTACAGCCGATTTTAGTTTATTCATATAAAAATCAATTTTTAGTGGGAAATATGAGTGATCACAGATTTTCACTATTTTCTCAATTAGAGCGTTATTTAAGAAACTACAGCCGATTTTAGTTTATTCATATAAAAATCAATTTTTAGTGGGAATATGAGTGATCACAGATTTTCACTATTTTCTCAATTGGAGCGTTATTTAAGAAACTACAGCCGATTTTATGTTTTTCATACAAACATCGATTTTTGGTGGGAAATATGAGTGATCACAGATTTTCACTATTTTCTCAATTGGAGCGTTATTTAAGAAACTACAGCCGATTTAAGGTTTTTCATATAAAAATCGATTTTGGATGGGAAATATGAGTGATCACAGATTTTCACTATTTTCTCAATTGGAGCGTTATTTAAGAAACTACAGCCGATTTAAGGTTTTTCATACAAAAATCGATTTTTGGTGGGAAATATGAGTGGTCACAGTATTTCACTATTTTCTCAATTGGAGCGTTATTTAAGAAACTACAGCCGATTTAAGTTTTTTCATACAAAAATCGATTTTTGGTGGGAAATATGAGTGATCACAGATTTTCACTATTTTCTCAATTAGAGCGTTATTTATGAAACTACAGCCGATTTTAGTTTATTCATATAAAAATCAATTTTTGGAGGGAAATATGAGTGATCACAGATTTTCACTATTTTCTCAATTGGAGCGTTATTTAAGAAACTACAGCCGATTTTAGTTTATTCATATAAGAATCAATTTTTAGTGGGAAATATGAGTGATCACAGATTTTCACTATTTTCTCAATTGGAGCGTTATTTAAGAAACTACAGCCGATTTTAGTTTATTCATATAAGAATCAATTTTTAGTGGGAAATATGAGTGATCACAGATTTTCACTATTTTCTCAATTGGAGCGTTATTTAAGAAACTACAGCCGATTTTATGTTTTTTATATAAAAATCGATTTTTGTTGGGAAATATGAGTGATCACAGATTTTCAGTATTTTCTCAATTGGAGCGTTATTTAAGAAACTACAGCCGATTTTAGTTTATTCATATAAAAATCAATTTTTAGTGGGAAATATGAGTGGTCACAGTATTTC